TAACATAGTAGCCAAGAGCATTTGCTTAAACCTTTTGTCTTACTATGTCATGTACTCTTGTAATCCAAAAAAAAAGAAAATATAATTCTCACAAGGTCTTCTATTCCTGAAAAAAAAATCCTAATTAACAGATAGAACATGTAATCTTCAAGGGGATATATAAGGAGATCTCGTTGCATATTGATACGAATTCAATAGAATAAGTACCAATAGATACATTATGAAAACTTTGTTCACCTTAAGATATGTATAATTCACAAAATTTTCATCATCAATACTGCATGTACCTTGAACCAAAATAGATGCAACTCTCTTAATGATGAACTGGCACCTTGAACCCAAAATAGATGCATCTCTCTTAATGATGAACTATTATGCTTCTCGATATATGATTTTTGCCATGGTAGGCCTACACATATATAGAATATCAATTATGACATCTTATTTTAAAAGCCAAACGATTTAATAACGAGTGATCTTTAATAAATAACAATTAAGAAGTGAACTAACTAAATTCCATACAAAGGCATGTTCAGGATGAGCACGATTCATATGATGATGAGTCTAATTTGCTAAATTTCCATAGGTTAGCAAAGGGAAGGCTAACGGGGCATATGCCCCCTCCTCGCGGATAGAAAATTGGAGGGGCATGTGCCCCAACAATGGCCCATCCTCGCGGATAGAAAATTAGAGGGCATTGTCCACAATAGAACAACCTGGAGTATTTAAAAGTTTTTTTTAGAAAAATGAAGTAGAGCTGCACATGACCTATAGTGGCGACATGAGAACCTAAGGGCTGGGGAATCGATCTAGTAATTGGGGAGGAGGGGAACTTAGGTATAGAGCTTATATATATATCAATTTGGAATGGGTTAGCTAGGCTCTAATTATTGTAATGGGCATGAGAAACACATACCCCGGGAACTCGCAGGGTCACCCACGAGTTCCCCCATCCTAACCCCGGAAATTTGCGGGCCCCGCCCCGCTTACCCGCGGGTGAGAAATCTCCCTGGCCCTAGCCCCGTCGGAGAAATTGCCACCCCTAACAGTCCCTAACTTAGCAATTGGAGTTAGAATACAATGGATCTCAATATGAAAATTTGTTTGATGCTAATAAATTTTTGGTCTTCCAACTGCCCAAAATTTGCTAGGCTTTTTGAGTTCATTCCGACCATGCTGTGAGCATTGAAACGAGCAACAACTACGCTCAAAGATTTTTTTTTTTTGTTCTTAGGGATAGTATAAAAAGATTGTAAGATCAGGTTTGCTTGTACCAAAGGCTATGGATGATCCATACAGTTGGAAAGGCTTTATATAATTAAATTACTAGTAGTTGTATTGTCCACCTACACCAACACACTCGTACCCTCAACATGCTCGTACACTCCGGCATCAAAGAGAAATCGAGCTACAATTTGGTGGTGTTTTAAAATGAATATGAAGTAACACACGTAAAACGAGAAAACCATTAGCATATGATTAATTGATATTTAATTATTGCAAACCTGAAAAATAGATTTCACTACACTGGTTTAAGTCATCAGTAACAGACTCAAACCATCACCAAGTCATCAGTAACAGGCTCAGATCATCACCTCTAATGGACTCAGAGATAAGTGGTCAGTGATGACTAAACTCATCTCTAATGGGTGAAGGTCCGTAACTAGTATGGATGACTAAACTCATCTCTCACGGGTGAAGGTGACTCACCCGTGATGGGTAGCACAATGCCCCTTTGACTGGTGGCATTGCAACCCATCACAGGTGACTCACCTGTGATGTGTAGCACAATGCGGCTTGTCAATGGTGCAGATTACCAATGAAGAAAAACAAAATATATTCCATTCTATTTCTCATTGCAGTTGCATTCATCTAAAAAATTTACAAAACACAAAAATCATCACAATCACACATCTGGGAATATCCAAACACTCATTCACATCCAAACACGCATGGCATCACGAAATCAACACGAAACGCATCAAGAAATCAACGAGACTTGTTGTTGACGATGAAACCCTCAAGCCGCAATGAAAAACTTGTCAAAGTAGTAGTTGGTCGCCATTGCCAAGCTCGACGCCGTTGGAGGGAGTCAACACCGATGGTGCTGAGGCGGTTGTCAGTGCTTGGTAGTCTGTGGAGTCGTGCGAACGAAGCCTCGGCGGCCGGCAATCGGGGGGAGGGATGACGGTTGGCGATCGAAGGAGTGCATGGGGAAGACGGCTCCCAACGGTCGACGACGGTGGTAGGCAGTTGAAGTAAGATAGAAGAGAGAACGGGTGACGGGAGGATTTTTCTTTATTTTTAAATCATCACTAACATGTATAAGAATTGAAGACGTTTGAGGTGAGGTATCTCACCTATGACGAGTGCAAACTCAACACCCGTCATAGGAAAGAGGTCAACTGTGACAGGTTTGTATGTGGGCTTGTCAGAGATGTTATGTGTTTGGTGCTTATATAGATCTAGCATATATGAGTTCTTATCCATGACAAACCATTTTCTTAGCCTCATCTACAACAGGATTTAGTTTTACCCATCAGAGATGATATCATCCGTGACGGGATATTTTGGTTCGTTATAGATAGGTCATCACAAATGGGCTGATCTGACATAGTGTTTATTTAATATTTGAAAGCAATTTTTATATATTCTTTAAAAAAAGATAAACCAAAACCAGGTAAAATCTACATCTACTTGGCCGACCGAAGACGAGAGGTGAACTTGTATGGGCCCACATGTCGGTGAACCACTCCGATCTCACGAACAGGAAACTATTATACATTGTCGAGGGGTCACCTCGTTGTTTGCATATCATCTAAATGGTTATGTAAACATTTGAAAAAAATTCAATAAGATAGATTAATATGTGAAAAACCACTCCACAAATATGCAAGGTCAATTTTTATAAGTTGCAAAAAAAAACATATTTGACTATAAATATACGTTAACTAGTTATAGTTCAATTTCTTTTTTTTTCATCTTCTAAAAGTTAAAATTTAACTTATATGTTCATATGGATTGATTTATTATATATTAATCTATCTAGTTAATTTATTTTCATAATCATTCGAATGACAGAGGACCTCGAGAGTCAATCGACTTCCTCTCACGAACCGCCCTCGCCAACCTCCGGCGCCGCCGTCCGCCGAGTCTCCGCAGAGCAGGCGTACGTCCACCTCGAGCCTCCCTCGCACCGCTCTCCTTTGTCCTCGCCGCCGCGCGTTCCGCGACGCGCAAGCACGGTGGTCCTCCTCCTCCTCCTCTTCTTCTCTCCCCAGCGTCGTCGGTGCCGATGGCGAGTGGCGACGCGGCGGGTCCCAGGCCGAGGAACGCGGCGTGCTCCGCCTCCGGCGGCACAGGGAACTGCAGCCCTGACTGATCCAGGCACAGAACGCCGGGCGACATGATCCCCGTGAAGCTTTGCCACTTTTGATCTGAATAATATATTTTTGTGTTCATGGTATTCCTGAACAGCTCCATTCTTGGCACATCCAGTGCAGAGTTTGTTGTGCACGAATAGAGGTGGTAAACACCGATTCCATCACTGTCCGTGATATTCTTCACAGATTCCATCACTGTCCATGATATATTCTTCATGTCCAGTTACAGGTTGTGAACTTGTGATTCCTTCAGGGAAAATAAAATGGTTGCAGGCACAACCAAAACTGTAAGCATATGTGAATTGATATTGCCTGGAACTTGGGTGATTCTCTTCTTCTTAACTTGAAATTGAAATTGCTATTGAGAGAATGTTTTTGTGCATCCCTTGACTAGTTAACTTTTCTGTAGTACTAGTTTACGGGACAAAATAATCTTCATTTTTATGGAAACAGTTGTAGTCAACATGAACTTTATTGTTTCCCTTCAACTTATGTTATTGTTAACACAACAAGCAAGCCATTTTAATTTGCTTTGCCTTGTGAACCCAGTTCATGGACCTTGTGATTTTGAGGAAGCATCACGGAACAGGAATCAGTTCCCTACACCATAACTCCATGACCTGTAAACCATACATTGATTATCGCGCTGTCCCCTAGATGTCCGATTCACACTTACATTTGTGGGTCTAATGACAGATCGTCTCTATCAAGAAAAGCATTGCAAGTTTGGAACGGCACCAGTAACATGGAGAGACATTTTCACCTTCACATTGCCATCATCTGTACTGCTGCCCTGCATGCTTTTTTCTTTCAGAGATTAACATCACCATTACAGTATCGTTTTGCTTCCCCCAGTGCTGATCAGGTCACATGGCTCCTCTTAACCTCTGGATCTCTGATCATATGATGGCAGGTGGTCGGCTGTCGTTATTTTCAGTACATTTCCTCACTGTTGCAGCTGCAGGCCATGGCTCGGGCAGCGTGATATTCTGGCTGCAGGAGAATTCCTGGAAGGTGGGGCACCAGCCAGCCATGCATACGCATCATCTTGTCCTCTGAATAATCATCATCGTCATCAGCTGTGATACTATGTGAGTATTTTTGACAGAATTTTTTTTGTGTCCTTTTCCTTGTCTTGCTGGTGCAGAGTGCAGACTGCATATGGTGTGGCATGAACTGCTCCCCTGAGGAAGCAGCAAGGCAGCATTGCGTGGCTTTCTGTGCGTTTGGATTCTTCTATGGAGTTTTTATTTATTTTTTCGAGGTAATTCTTCCACGGAGTTTGTGCTGATTCATCCGTGCATCTGCATCTGCTTGGTTGGCAGTGTGGGCAGGCAGCCAGGCAAGGGCCTTATCTTCTTCAGAGTTTGAACCAATGGCCTGCAGGTTAAGCACTTGATTGGTCTTCAAGGCATAAATCTTGCTGAAATTAATTTACTTCTTTGATTAGATCACCAATAAGATCAAATTGTTTGTGTGTGTCTGTGTTCATTCAGATCAGGTATATAGCCTTGACATGCCTTTGATCTTATTCAGATCTGAATAAGGAATTACCTCTGATCTGACAAATACTGGCTTGGTACTGTATTTATGATATGAACACAGAGAAACAAGGAATCTTTGGTGTGGAGAAATGACCAAGCTTAAGTCAAATTTCTCCCTTTTTTCATATTTTCCAGCCTTCGCTCATACAGTACAAAACTCAAACTGAAAAAAGAAATGAGCCTAATTAAAAGACTATATACACAGTTCATACATCTTGTCCCTCTTGGATTCAGAAACACTGAAACAAGGCAGTGCCTAAACTCTCTCTGTACAGCAACGAAGAGCACAAGCCATCAGGGCTCTTCTAGTCCTCTGCTCCCTTCTTGATCCCATTCATCTCATGCCATGTGATTCATGATCTCTGATTCATCATCCATCTTCTCATGTGGTGTGTCCTAGCCTGTGATTTGTCTCCTTTGATCATCCATCAGACCATCACCTGGCTTCAGAGCCCTTCATGATCCTCAACTTCTTGCAGGAAGAGATGAACATTCTGCAAAAGAAACAGAGCAACCTAGAGTTAGATACAGATCTGAAGAAACTGATAACATGTCATCTGAATATTCTGAATATCTGATGATGATGATGATGATGATGGCACTTACTCCCAGGGCACATCTCCAACAAGCATGAGGTCACCGTCCTTGTCCTCGTAGGCAATGGCGAACTGGCCATCGCTGCATCCGTCAGAGGCGGTTGCAGAGAAGCACTTGGTGAAGAGGAGATCCAGTGCCTCCCTCAGCTCCCTGTAGCCCTTGCACATCTTGAGATCAACCTTCCTCAGGTATGGTGCCCCATCCATGCTCACCTTCACATACAGCCCTCCTCCCTGCTGCTGCTGCTTCTGTTTCTCATCACCACCCTTCTTGGTTGCGGCGGCGGCGGCGGCGGCCTGATGGAAGGTGTTCCTCCGGTATGCCCTCACTGGTGGCCATCCTACCACCTGTGCCCTGAACCAAGGAGAATTTTAGCCATGGTTAGTTTTGTGTTGTTGTTGTTACAGGTGTTTGTGCAGGGTCAGGGGGTTGTGAGCTTACTTGGCCGGTGCGGCGGTGTCGTCGTCGTGCTCGTCGCCGGCGGCGGAAGTTCCGGTGCCGGAGGCCATGCTGTCCGTGCTCTCCAGCGACCGCTTCGCCCCGAGGGACCTCTTCGCCGCCGGGTCGGCGCCGCCGGTGGTGGTGGTGGTGGTGATGCTGCTTCCCGGCGGGCCGAGGCGGAGGCAGAGGTTGTCGGCGTCGGTCTCCGCGGCGGAGGCGAGGCAGCTGGTGCTCCTGAGAGAAGAAGAAGACGCCATGGCTAGCTACTGATTTTCTTGAGAGAAAGAAGAGGAGGAGGAGGAAATGTGGAAGAGGAATTTGGAGGAGAAGATGAGATGAGGACGAAGTGGGGAGGGAGGGGGGGATTGGTTTTAAATGGTGGCGCGCAGGTGTGCATGTCGCGCGGTCGGGGAGGCCGGTGGGGCCCACGGGACAGGCGGGCCGGGGTGGGGTGGGGCCCACGGGCCGACAGGCGGGCCCCACCGGCTTTGGACGGGATGGGTGGTGGGATTCCCTGCCGGGTCGGGTTAGTTGGCTCGCGCCATGTGACCGACAGGTGGGCCCGCGCGTCACGCGTGCGGTCGGGGCCCCGCCGCCCAATGGGCGGAGCACACGTGGCGACGGTGGGTGCGGCTCGCGCGTGCGGGTTCGCGACGCTGTCTTTTAAATTTGTGATTTTTTATTATTATTACTCCATATGTCTCAAAACATAAACATTTTAGCATGGTGCAAAGTCAAATATTTATAACTTTAATTATTAATTTAAAAATGTAAAAAAATATTAATTATATAAAATTAATGTTATTAGATTTATCATTAAACAAACTATCACAATATGTAACTTTTTTATTTAAAACATCTTAAATAGCGTTGATTAAAATAGTATCTTGAAACCGTGCCAAAGTCTAAAAGTGTTTATATTTTGGGACAGAGAGATATTATTTTTCGTTTGTTTTGATTTAAGTTGCGGTGCTGTGTTAGTGCAGTGCTTTGTGTTAATTTTTAATCAGAGTTTAGTCAAATGATGTGGACAGGGAATCGACACGGGAAATACAGTTAGATGCTTGGAGTTTCCCTGTATGCCTACATGTGGCTCATTTAATAGTGGGTTATTCGATTTTCTGATTGGACGCGGTGCTCATCATGGCAGACACAGTATGGGCTTGTTATTTTATTCTTCTACTTGACGAAAAAAATTATATATATCATGCCAATTTTCAGTTAGATGCTGCTTCGGAGAACTGATAGCTACTTACAAGTTGATAATTCGTAATGTATACTTCTGTATGTACAGAGGTCCATTTGTTATAAAAGGAAAAGGTATACCTAACTCACTCGAATTATTTTGCTGGAGTAAGTAGCAAATAAAAAAAATCAGCTTATTTTACCACCTAAAATACTCTAAAGCAGATTAATATGACTATCAATTACTTTTAAAATATTTAATTTGCACAGTAGAACACAATTCATTAGTCTTAAAAAATACGTCGATAAAATTAATTTTTACTTACTGTAATGCATTATAATACAAATCATAATCAAAGATAAATTTTGAAGACTGTATTATTGTCCAAAACGTTAAGAATTATATATAAGACTGAAGGGAGTGTGTCTTTTTTTCTCTTTATAAAAGCATGTCCAAATTTTATAAAAAAAAATATGTCAATAGTCATTTTCAAAATTTCCCATGGTAGTTGTGTGCTTAATTCCATCTTACATGTTTCCAGTATATTGTGTAATAGTTACTAAAAATTCAAAAACATTTTAGAGGGTTAAATAATACTCCGGTAAAACATTTTAACAGTAGAATAGGCTTTTTTCCGTTACAATTCCTCTACAACATTATGCAGCTTTGGACTCATGCCACACACATCCTTCGCACGCACGGAATATATTGGTCGTGTTCATCACTGCCCTTTGGCCTTTGCGTGTGCACATGCAACGTTTCCAACCATTCTGGTACACCCCATCATCAAATCCATGCATAATAATGATCATTCCCCCCGCAATTTGTGTTCGTCTTTTCTTTTGTACTTGTAGAAGTTTTAGCAAACATCGATCATTTAGTTAGTAGTTTGTGTATACAAAAGGCTAGCCGAAAGGAACCTACTGACGATTAGAGCAAATCGCTAGTTGATTGCATTTACAAACTTTATAAAGAGCACGAGCGAAAAATGCAGCTAGTGATTAAATTTATCTTATAGTTACACAAACATCCAAAGCCAGCATCATTAGTCGATCTACTACTGTCTCTACATGCACATTGCACGGATCGACAATATTTTTTCCCCCTTATTTTAAGGAGAGAGCACCTTTTCCCAATGAGGATAACAAACCAATTAATTAATTATTTCCTTTCTACTAAAATATAAATACTCCATCCATTTCAGGTTATAAGACTTTCTAGCATTGTCTATATTTATATAGATATTAATGAATCTAAACACACATATATGTGTATATTCATTAGTATATATATGAATGTGGTCAATGCTAGAAAATCTTATAATCTGAAATGGAGGAAGTAACAAAGAAGTTAAATTAAATAAGAAATTATTACGAATGGTTGAGATAAGTAGTGGACAAAGAAAAGATAATTGTGGCCTGTTAAGATAAAGGAACTACGTGAAAAGATTATTAATATTTTAAATAAGTTTTAAACGTTAAAATTATTTATATTTTGAGACGAACGAGATGTAATTAACTGTTCAATTAGGCTTCAAGCTATGCATGCATACATCCAAACGCGAAGAATAATAGTTTGTCCCCTCTTGCACAGAGAGAACAAAATAAGCACACGTACACTAGCTTTTAACTATACGTACGTGCGAGCTAAGCACGCATGAATGTGCGTAGCTGTCAGTGACACATATATAACGTCCAAATTAGCATTGGATGGATGGGAGAGGCGAAGAAAAATCAACGGGAGTTAATGGCCGGTAGCTGATGATCAGGGGTGGCTAATTAGGTCGGGGCTTTTGGTAGCCGTCTCGCTGTCACGGGCATATATGGATACATAAACCTGGCTGTGCTGTGACACTGCTGTGCCTCCTTTTTCCCAAAAGACAAGACACCATCATGCGTACATGCTGGCCCATCGACAGAAAAGCCAGATCGGTTTTATACAACTGTGAGTGAGTATACGTTACTAGCTAGGTGCCTCTCAATGCTCCTAATATCAAGTAGGCTTTTATTTTTCTATTTTCTTTCTTTACTTTTTTTAAGAAAAAAACAAAGTGTAGGTGTTTAGATAAAACCTATTAGTAATCTCAGCATCGAGTCATCTTTTTTACATTCAAGTGTAGGCTTTTATATTAAGAATTTATGAAATCAAATCAGTCGTCATCGGATCCGGCCACCATAGATTTTAGCTTGGCTAGGGGTAAATTAATAGCATTTAATAACTAACTGATACAATTAACAACAACTCTTTCTACATCTAACGGAGAACGAGTATAGCTCAGCAGGCAGGGAGCCGAGCAAGCTATTGCCTATTGGGTTGTGTAACTTGTGTTCCATCCCTCGAATAGGTCTTTTTTCACGACTTTCTTCTCTATCAATAATACTGAGTTAACTGTATGTACGGGGCTACGGGCCCCCATTTCTCGTCGGTTCGATTCAACGCACGTTTCGTGGCGAACGTATATAACGAGCTGCAAAATGCGGGAAGGACACGTGTTACGTTACAGCGGCACCATCCATGAGTGCGTGCATTATATTCCTGATCGATCCGGCCAGCCATAAACTCCGGTGCTCCACGCTTTGACTCCACCCATCTCGTCTCGTCTCGTCGGCGCGTCTCGCTTGCCCGGCCCACTCACCCGACACACGGCGTACGCACGTACGACCCCCCCGCCACGCGTACGTACGCTCGCGCGCGCCCCCACGGTTAATGGTGGCGCCTCCCCTCCCGACACATACCACGTACTACACACTTTACCACACTGTACGATCGAGCACCGCAACGTCACGTGGCCGCAGCCAATCGGATGGCGACGCGCTCCCGTGGCGCCGGATGCCGGGGCCGCGGCGTACGTGCGATGCCGATGCGTCGCGTGTGCGTGCACGCATGCGCGGATGCGCCACCTGCCGGCTAGGTCGGCCGCGCTGTGGCCCGCGCGCCCGCACTGCGAGACCAGACCGAGTCTAGGTGAGCGATCGAACGATGCATGCGCGGTGCGCGCGGCTGCGGGGAGGGGCAGGGCAGCGTGGGCTCCGCCGTGTCCGAACCGAACGCGATCGACGGGTGAGATGGTGGAGGCATGGAGGGTGGAGCTATTTATTATGCGTAATGCCATGTACAATACACCGCCGTCGATAGCGGTCTCAAACTCTCAATCCTTCACATCATCTATCAAAAAAAAAATGTCCTTCACGTCAGATCCGAACATCCATGGCGGTGGGGACCATGGTTCTATGATATGTGCATATACAGGTTACGGTTGCCTCGACGCGCTTCAGCTTGGGATTGCGAAACCACAACTCGGGACCATGCGTTGAGCAACACCGGAGCCCTGTGATATGCATGGGAAAAAATTAGAGGTCGAGGCGAGGCCTAGGACTTGGTGTAGTCGTTGTTGCCACTCGCCGACGTTGTGGTAGCCTCGCCACTCCCCACCACTGCCAAGGACTTCTCTCGCAGAGGTCGTCGCCGCTCCTTGCTACTGAAGTCGCCGTTGCAAATCCAGCGAGTTCGTGACCAGATTCAGTGAACTCGTGGCCAGATCCGCCGCCGGCGGTTGTCCCTCGGCCGTCGCAAGAATGGGGGAGGGAAGAGGCCGGCGGCCAAATCTGACATCGCCGTTCGTAGAGAAGGAATGGCAAGAGGCCGACGAGCTCGCAGCTTAATCCACCGCCACCATGGGGATCCGCTGTCGCTGCTCGCAAAGAAAGGAGGGGGAGTCCAATGATGTTATCCCTTCCACCATCGCCACTCGCAGAGAAGACGCGGAGGAGAGGCTGGAGGTGGAAGAGAAGTGCACCTGTGGATGCGAAGTAGGCCAGGGGAGCAGCGCTGCTGTGGCTGAAGAGGAGGTGACAACGTTGAGAGGAGGAGGTGGCATTGCGGTCGGCCAGTTGTGGGAATGAGGATAGTGATGGGTAGGAATAGAAAATAAAGAAGATGACAGGAGAGGCTGACGGTGGGTACATATCTAGATTAGGAGTATCTATATATTTCTTTTTGTTGTTATAAGATCTAAAATAGTTATTTATAATAACAAATATCATAGGGGCTAGGGGCAGACACACAAAATGTATTTAGAAGTTGTCTTCATTGTAAACATCATGGCTTTTGTATGGTCTTATCCTATGTGGCAGGTTAAGACCACTACTCCATTGTTGTCATGCCCTGAAGTTTCCCTTGCCAGCTTTAAAATTTGTAAAATAAATCGTCCGAAGAAATTGTTCTTTTTAACCTAGAGATGAATCCCTAATTAATAAATGCAAATAATAATCGGAATCTACATGTGGAATTTTTTCATGGATTCTACATGTCAAAATATGCTAACAGGATTTTTAGTGGAATTTTCAGAGCCTTGGAAATAATTTTAACCAATTAAAATGAACAAAGGGCAATATTAAATCCCTGGAAAAATCCTTTCTTCTTTTTCTTTTTCTTTTTCCTCTTTTTTCTCTCTTCTTGGGCCGTCGGCCCAGTCCATTCGCCTCCCGCGCCGGCCTTCCCTCGGCTGGGCCGGCCCAAGCCGACTCCTCCCTCCTCCCTAACCCCTCCGGGTCACCGATAGGTAGGGCCCACCTGTCGGCCCCTTCTTCCACCTCCCGCAGTCGAAACCGCCGCCTACCGCCGTCGGTTTCCCCGCTTCCCGCGCCCACTCCGCCCGTGCCGCACGCCCACGTCGCCGCTCACCTTCTCCACACCTCCCGCTAGCTCGCGCGCCCGCAAACGGCGGGGGATTTGCTCCTTTCCCCCACTCTCTCTCTCCTCCTCCACTTCCCCCACGTCGCCGGCCAAATCGGCCACCTTCCCGGCCTCGTCCGCCCCTCCCGAGCCCATATAAACCATCCCTCCACTCCCCTCCACCTTTTCCTCTTTCCACCGCTCCCTCCCGTGCCCTCTATCGCTCCCGCGCTGCTACACCCGCCGCCACCGCCTTTTCCACTCCTCCGGCCGCCGCTCGCCGCCGCTGGAGCCGCCGCCGAGCCAATCCGCCGCCGCCATTAGCTTCGCCGCCGCCAAAGCTACCCCGGCCGCCGCATCCCCATCCAATCCCGCCGTCGGGGCCCGCTTCTCCCCGCGCGCCGGTGAGTACCACCATAGCTGCCGCTGTCGGCCATGGCTCTCGCTCGTCATGGACACCCTCTCTCCCTCTAACCTCTCACACTTCCTCTCTTAGGGTGTCCTGGAGCTCGGCCGCCGTTCGCCGTCGCCCTCCGGTCGCTCACCGTCGCCGTTTGCCGTCGTCTCCTCCCGCGCCGGCCGAACCCCGGTGAGAACTCCCTCCCCTTCTCTTCCTCCCGCGCGTGCCGCCGCTCCCCACATGCGCGTCGCCGCGATGCACCGTCGCCCGCGTCGCCGGCCGCCGCCGTCGGTGGCCGCTTGCCGCCGCCGCCCTCGCCATAACCGGCCGGCCGGCTTGAAGCCGAGCCGAGCCAGGCTGCCTTCCTCCTTCCCCCATGAGCCGCCGCCCGGTGGGCCCCGCCTGCCAGTACCCCTCCCTCCTCCTTGAGCCGCTGACCAGTGGGGCCCGCATGTCGGCGCCGCCCCACCCCTTGCTGACGTCAGCCCTGGGATGAATTATTGCGCAATAAATACATTAAGGCTTTTTCTTTATTAGTAAAAACACAGATAATCTTCTAAAAACATAACTAATTCATCCGAACTCCGATTAAGTCCATTCAAGTCTCAGTAAATTCATAAAAATGTATAGAATCCATTAAAAATTGTTTTGTTTCCTGTTTCAGTAGTCTTATAGCATGTTTTGCTTGTGTGCTTTGTTTGTCGCGTAGATTTCGCCCGTTTCGTCGATTCGCGGTTTCTCGAAGACGTTGCTGTGGTTCCATCAGTGCGAGAGCAAGGCAAGTCATACATTACAATTGATCATATTGTACCCAATTTACAAATGTCCCGCATTTCTATTAAATATTGCATTGTTTTACAATATCATGTGGGATGGGTCCTATTACTCAGCTATATGTTGTTTCCCTTACGCCATTAATAACTTGGGTATTAAAATGACTAGATGTTGGTTTAGGAGATGCTTAGCCATGCTTAGTTCAACTAGTGCACAAAAGGGGATCACATTAAAGCATAGACTTTGATTATTGGCAATAGCTTTGGATTAGTGCCACCGCAATGGTGTTGGTTAATTAAAATACACTACATGGTGGGCTGTGGGTGCATGGTTTTGCTAGTCGTGTCCATGGCGATTAAGGAGCGGTTCACGGGATGCCCTGGAAGAACTTATCGTACTTACCACAAGCCAGCGTGGGCAACGGTTGGGCTTGTAGTGTAGCTTTTCTCTAGCCGATGTACCCAGGCGAGGGTGGGCATGATGGAGTTGGGTCGGCCGGGGTGTCCGGTTGATCGGCTTCCGGATTCACCGTGGCACGAAAGGGGGGCTGCCCGTTGCCTGTTGGGGACGGGGGCGAACCCTAAGGTGTGGTGCGATCGGTTAGAGAGGGTTATGCGAAGGGTCCTGTCACGGCCTCTTTCCGGTATGTCGTGGTGGCATGTCGGCGCACGGGAACGTGTCATGGGACTGTGTCTTGTGGGTACAGTTGTACACCTCTGATCAGAGTAAAACTATTCGAATAGCCGTGCCCGCGGTTATGGGCGGTCGACCAGATTCACCGTGATTAGTCTCACCCCTAGTTTAGCTTAATGAACTGGTGTAGTTCAGGTGGTTGGTTGGGCCTGTTGCAACGTGGTGTAGCGTTGGACAGTGATTGGTTAATACTGCTTAATTGCTACTACTGTTTTACTGCTTTCAACTTCTGCTTTTAAATGCTAGCTTTATGCAAAAGAACCTTTAGCCCCCTTGGATATATCCTGCATCATACCTCCTCTTCCGGTACGACTTGCTGAGTACAGTGGGTAGTACTCAGTCTTGCTCTTTTCCCCCACACCAGAGTTGAAGTTCTTCTCAGTTGGAGCCGTCTCAGAGAGGTTGGTTCCGTCGCTGCCGTCAAGGATTGCCTGTGGAATGGAGTCGCCTTGCTGCTGAAGTCAAGCTTTCCGGTTTAGCTCGCTTTTATCTTTTCCGCTGCATTTGTAATCTTTTATATTTTTGTAAGACGTGGATCTGTATGTCAACAATTGTCGTTTGTGTACCCTGGCTGGTCCTGGACAGAGGTTTAATATACATTCAGCTTAGAAATTCTGGTTCGTGAATTTCTAGGCGTGACAAGTACATGCCCTAATTGGCTGGATTCATTTGACTCGTCTCATCGTGGACTTGATCACGAGCAAAATTTAAGTGATGCTCTTTTTAATAAAGATGGAGATGAAGTTAAGACACGGAAAATAAGAAAGTGAATATATATGATTAATTAAGTTTTAATTATTATAAATTTAAGATGGATTTTGTTCGTTTGAATCGAATTCTAGCTATTAACATAGATCTTCTTTTGTGCAGTTCCCAATTCAAAATTTCTTATAGTTATAAGTATTTTTAGCTCCACAAATCTATATATTTAGATTTCTATTTCTATTTTGGATTAAATTTTAAACAACTATAATTCAACATACAAACTTTAAATTTACTATAGATCTAAGATATGGAGTTGTGCCTAACAAGATCATAGATCCCCTATTTTAGATCATAGATCCCCTATTTTTCTTTTTTTCCCCAGCTGCCAGAAGAACGCCGACTGTTTTTATTAAGGTTAAGATAAGAAAAAAAAGTCAGATTACATGATGACAACGGGGTTATTGTGCTGCCTCAAGCACATGCAGCCAACAATTAGGGGATATAAACAACCTTAGCTCGACCCAGCAAGTAGCTTAAAACTCACTGGCATTGTGTGCCGCAAAGCTACGGGGCGCCATCAAGCTACTGCTCCAATCAGAAGGGGGCACAATAATCTTGCCGCTCGGCAATGCCCAAAACTCCTCCATAATCGCATCCAATACCAGTTCCTGCACTGTTCTGGAGGTCTGCGCGGTGAGACCATTAAATTCGTTGCAATTAAATCTTTAAAACAAGACCACACATGGATATATTCCGACGGAATTTTTTTTAGCTTATTATTGAATTATTTTTAAATGTTGCACGATGTTCCACTAGGTATATCGGAATTGTTTCATAAATCGAAAATATTTCACTCGTTTAAATCGAGTGTTGTTTCACCTTATATAAAAACAATGTTTCAGCAATTAGTGAAAGAATGTTTCAGTTCACTGCAACATTTGATCCATACATAGTGAAACATTTTTTGGTGGAAAAAAATAAAATAAATTCCATTAAAAGGGGGTTTCCAAAATATGTGGGTTTTTTGTTGCAATGAATATTTCAGTTCACTGCAGCATTATATCTATACATAGTGAAACATTGTGAGTACACTAGGTGAAATATTTTTGGTGGAACAAAAAATAAACCAAATTCCCTTAATAGAGAGGTTCCAAAATATGTGGGTGATTTGTTACAATGGCAGATAGGAGCAGAGACGCGGTGGGGCCTAGAGCCTACATGCAGTGCGTGGGGGGAGGGGCGCGTGGGGGAGCGCCCGATCCGGCTCCCCCCGCGCCGGTCGCCCGGCTTAGAGCATTCTCGACTTTACTATATTATAAGAGGCAGCAATATAAGGATCCGGCTGCTGAAGGCAGAGGCCCACGGTAAAATGAGCATGTTGCTACAGTAAAACCAATTATTTGTAGTTAATTACTCACTCCGTTCCATTTTAAGTGCAGCCATAGTTTTTCCCGCCCAACTTTGACTGCCCATCTTATTTTAAAATTTTTTTTAAAAAAAATTAAAACATAAGTCACGAGTAGAGTACTATTCATGTTTTATCATCTCATAACAACAAAAATATTAATTATAAAATTTTTTCAAATAAGACGGACGATCAAAGTTGAGCGCTAAAACTTATGGTTGCACTTAAAATGGGACGGATGGAGTACTATAGCAATCAATCTCATTTGTTCGTCGTAAATCAGACGGGCTAAGAATTACCCCAAAATCATGGCACTGTACACTTCATTGTGTAAAGTTAGAGGATCCCGATCCGTAATATATTCACACCTATGTGGCAGAGCATAACATCTATGCAATCGTGGCCTCAATTACAAATATAGAACATAAACTACAAGTGCCCCAATATACATGTTACTAACATATCGAACTCGAACGCGATAGTATATATTTTGGCAATTGGACCCGTGCGGGCGAAAAACGGCCCTGCGCGACCGGATGGTCCGAACAGTGTGCCCCCAAGGTCGTCATCGGACTTGTTTCTCCGGCAATGCTCGGTTTGAAAATGGCGGGACTCGGTGACGATTTACGACTAGTCGCTTTGGAGTACTAGTATTTTGGGGCGTTTTTCCTTGCCCATCCGCGGTTGTTGTGTCGTCTGCTTCAGTTCCACCCCCCAACTTGAGTCGAGGTTGTTGTCGATCGATCGAGCTAGCGTGCGTACGGGGCCCGGCCAGGGCGAACACACGAGGGGAGGGGAAAGCGCACACACCGTACGCTACTACGTGCGGGGGCGCAGTTGACGGGCGGGCAATCCGGCTCGCCTGCCTCGGCGGCTGTAGGGGGGGGGGGGGGGGGGGGGGGGACACCGCACGCGCGCGGCCGCCATCACGTCCATCTGGACAGGACCCACGTACGTACGCGCGAGCGCGCGTGCTTTTCTCGGTCTCTCTTTTGGCCGTGATCGCCGACGACTGGCTTGATTGATTGCCATCATCACATATGCTTGCTGCCGTGATTTTGCTCCCAGCGATTATGCTTGATTATGGTATAGTAATTTCACTTCCCGTTAGAATTCAGGTTGCATGTTCTTGGTTAGCTCCTAAGGGAGTGTTGGAGAGAAAGGGAAAAGAGAATATTGATAAAATATACAAAATGAGGCGAGCTATTAGCGCACGATTAATTATGTGTTGATTATTTTAAACTCAAAAATTGTATTAATATGATTTTTGAAAGCAACTTATATATATGTTTTAAAAAAACGTACAGTTTGATAAACGTGCACGTGTAAAACGAGAGATCTTCTCACCCAATCTGCTAACTCGAACACAACCTAAGACCTCAAGGCCTGTTTCGATGTGATTAAGGGTGTCTTTGGTTGGGCTTTTGAACCTGCTTTTGCAGGGCTCAAGCTAGCTGCTTCTACCCAAAAGCTACTTTTGTTATAGTACAAACTAAAAGCACCTCCTACCTTGCTTCCAGTGGCTTTTAAGGGAAAAAATTACCCATCTGCCATTGGTTATGAGAAAACGGTTCGATTTCTTTCCTCCCGTCCCCTTCTTGCGACCTTCACATGCGGTGCGCAGCAGTGGTGCCCCTCCGACTGGCTGGCCGCCGCCTGTACGGTGCCGCCCCTGCTCGTCCCCGCCCAGCGCCGGCTTGCCCAGGGTTGGGGCGCACGGAGGAGAGGACGGCGGCGACTCCACACCGACTCCGCCGCGCGCGTCTGCCTACCCGCCGCTGCCGGCGTGTCGATGGCCATCTCTATGTCTTTCTCCTCTTTTTTTTCCCTCTTTTTACCCCTCTTTTTCCCTTTTTTCCAATGTGCGTATGACATGTGGGGCCCGCTTGTAAGCGGAACTAGTTATTTCAAAAGTCACAACTGTTGAACCTAACGAGCTTTTTCAAAAGATATAGCCCATATTCCACAGCTGCTTTTCGAAAAGTCACAGCCTACGGCCACTTTTCAAAAGTCACAGCTCAACCAAACACACCCTAAGTTTGTCACACCCTAATTTGCTAACTCAAACACAGCCTAAGTCCTCAATGCATGTTTCGATGTAACATTTGTTAACAAATTTTCTCTAAAAAATTTAGATGTAAATATAGTATAATCGTAGTATAATTACATTATAACTTATATGGAACTTTTAAAAATCCCTCCATAACACTCTATTCCCGTGAAACATAGGTCGTTGGACCAAATCCCTCACCCATGCCAGCACTGTAATTGTTCCCTTCCCGCTTGAAGGCCCGCTCTGGCGTTGGCTCACTGTCAACTGTCACGCCGAGGTGCCGTGGTGGAAGTCGACGCTTTGCTGGGGGTGACAACTGGTTTATCGTCCAGGGTCACTGTGCCCGAGGCGTAGCCATAGATCTCCTCCAAGTGCACGTACATGCAGTACTTCACTGCGTGCTGCGAACGCTCCTGCGGCCTCTCTCGGACACCGTCACAGTCAGTGTGGAGCACATTGCCACGCCTGCTGCTAGTGAAGATTATCCACACACGTTTGGGGATAGAGGACTGGTTTAGTTCCTAACTTTTTCTTTAAATTTTTAACTTTTTCATCATATTAAAACGTTTCTACGCACAAATTTTTAATATTTTCGTCACATTGTTTCAATTTCAATCAAACTTTCAATTTTAACGTGCACCAAACACACCCAGAGTTTGGGTTGCTAGTCCACGCTCGAATATTGATCCAGCGTGTGTTGGACGAATGAATGAAGCTCATCTCGATGTTCTTCAATACACATGTGCGCGCTACAGTCAGCCTTTCAGGCATGATGCGGAACACCGTCAAGGTAGAGATGGACGCAAAACATCAAGGCGATGCTGAGGACGCTCTTGTGCCACTTGAAAAGAATGAAGCTCAAGCCCACGGCGCTTGGGAACCCCTTCTTGAGCGCCTCAGCATGGCGCCGCCGGTGCTCAAACTTTATTAGGAAAGATTTTGGGTGGTGTTGGAGATCACTGCCTCGCATTTCCTTAGGTGGAGCACCTCCACAAACATTGCTTTTATGTCCTTTGCTGTTGTTGACGCCGAAGCCTTGACCACCCAGATGATGATGACCATGGACTCCCATTCTTTCAGCTCAGCTCTACCTAGGGTTTACAAAACCGCCGGTAACTGCGCGGTTACCGGGTTTACCGCAGAGTACGGTAAAAAAAACCGCAGTAACCTCCTTAAATTTAAATAAATTTTAAAAATAATTTAAAATTTTGATAAATTTTACATGGTTTCATACGGTTTGTCACGGTTACCGCGGTTACCACACAATAACCGTACTTACCGCCGGGGCACGGTAACCTTGGTCCCGGCGGTTTGGGAAACCGTGGCTCTACGACCTCGGTGGCATGCGAGGTTGGGATGAAGCATTCCTCTTCTTCCGACCAGGTTGACAGTCACCAAGGATTAGTATAGCTACAAAGAGTCATTGGTTAGCCTGGTGTGATATGGAGGTTAATTTATTGGTAGGATTTTGTTGTGCTAAAACTTTGAATAGAGATGTGTTAATGCGGACCAAAAAAACATGTAAGAGAGCTTCACACTCAATATATAATCTTGTTTTGATCTTAATTTCTTTTGGAGTAAATTGCATCGCCGATACACGAATTTGTTAAATGGGTGCAATCTTGTACACGAACTTGTAAAATACTCGTTTTGGTGCATGAATTTGTCTAATGCGTGCAGAGGAAGGCAAAAAGGAAACAACATGGCTAATCTTATTGATTTAGGGGCTCATCAGGATAACTATGTAAACATATATCTGAGAAGGTTGCTATTAGATAAACACCTCTTCAATAAAAATAGAATGGGATATAGTGATGGTAGAAAATGATAAAAAAAAACCGAGCAATGATATAAGAGTTAGAAATATATGAAATTCATCACTTCCATGATGATGGATAAAGTACATATCAAATTTATAAATATTACATGTCTTATACATAGTCATATGCACGTCACATCCTAATCAACATCAGCTTTATAAAATTAACATTGCTTTCTAAAAAAAATTATCAACGTTGCTTTGTAAATTTATCAACATCAATGATAATATAACATGTGACATTTTTGAAAAAAAAAATTGGGAACTAAACAAAAGGATGCATGGAGGATTAAATTAACATCCCAAAAACGTCACATCGAATTTTTGGGCACATGCATAGAGCATTAAATATATATAAAATAAAAAACTAATTGCATAGTTTATATGAAATTCGCGAGACGAATCTTTTGAGTCTAATTAGTCCATGATTAGCCATAAGTGCTACAGTAACCCACATGTGCTTATGAAGGATTAATTAGGCTTAATAAATTCGTCTTGTGGTTTCTAGGCGAGTTATGAAACTAGTTTTTTCATTCGTGTCTGAAAAGCTCTTCCAACATCCAGTCAAACGTTCAATGTGACACCTAATTTTTTTTTTCGTGAACTAAACCAGGCCGGAGTATGTATGGAAGACATCGGAAGCAGTGCTGTTTTTAGTGTTGAGATTATAGACATATAATGATTTAATCTATTCCATAAATAAATCATGACATTACAGATGAAAACTAGCATGAACGCATCATTAGATCTACACATGTAAACTACACAGTATAACATGAACAGATCAAATATGCGCAACATATTGAACACGTACCGAGGTGACGAAAAGACCGGCTGCTTGGTCGAAACTTTTCGCAGGTGTCTACGAAGGCACGAAACACGCGAGCGAAGAGGAAGGCGAGCCGTCGCGCGAAGCGCTTCCCAAAAACCTTATTGCCGCCTTCTCCCGGTGCAGGATGTCAAAGGCAGAGGTTCCGGAGACCTGCTCTCCCGATCGCTGGTGCACGCCGGCGAGCGGGATGGAGTAGTCTACGAGCGACGGCGCAGTACAGAGTAGGAGGCAAACCCTAGATTGATTTTGCGTATATACTGCGTGAAGACGGCGGGTCGGTTTATATAGAGAAGGGTCGCTTGATCAGGGCGCCCGCACGATCTCTATTGCGCGTAACCGAACCGGATAAGTCGCGCGTAACTTATCCGGACTCCACGCCATTTGCACGCACCGGATTTTTCGGAACGTTTCCAAAACAAAAACGAATCCGAATTTGCAGCAAAACAAAACTGGGTCGGTTTATATAGAGAAGGGTCGCTTGATCAGGGCGCCCGCACGATCTCTATTGCGCGTAACCGAACCGGATAAGTCGCGCGTAACTTATCCGGACTCCACGCCATTTGCACGCACCGGATTTTTCGGAACGTTTCCAAAACAAAAACGAATCCGAATTTGCAGCAAAACAAAACTGCAAAAAGAGGCTGCATCTGCGCAAGGGTGAGGAGCCAATTTTTCGGACCATTCGATGCGTACGTCGTGCACGCGCGCCGCCTGCCAGGCGAGGCGAGCGAGCGCGCGCGTGTTTCCCCTCTTCTCTCCACCACACATGCTTCAAGTGGCTAGGAGGACATCCTCCCTTTTAAGGAGGTCCCCCTCTCCTAGAATAAGCAAGGTGGTACTAAACTCCACATGCATGCCATCCCATGAGGTGGGCTTTTGTGATTTTCCAAAGAATTAATCTTCGAGTGGGCTAAGGCCCATTCATTAATTCCAACAT